GTCGAATGCACGGAGAGGTCTCCGAGCTTCACGTCCTCGTAGTGTAGTTGTTGTGACATGTTCTCCGCCGGAGAGACAGGAGGTACCTTCCAAATGGCCACAGTGCTCAGGGCTGTGGTGGCAGGAAGCCATCCAGCAGGGGGTGCAGCTGCTTAGACCAGCAGTGTCGCCTCTTGGGGTGCACATGAGGAGAGCGCGGCAATCAAAAATGGAGCTGGGATCTGCGCTCCGGGACTCTGGTGGGCCGAGAGGCGCCTCAGATGGCATCTTAACTGTTAGGTTTAACACCTGCCTTAGCCTGTGTTTTTGGGTACTTAACCACAAGTCACTGAAACCACAGAAAGTACTAACATTTAACTTTTAGTCCAAAGTAGTTGCTCTAGCTACATTTTTCCTTAACAAAAAAATATCAAGTCTATCATCTATCTATCTATGTATGTATCTATCTATATCTCCCACTTATAAATCCCTTAGAAATTTTGCTTTGGTCTTTTTGGGGGTGCTTATATGGATTATAGTAGCATTTTTGAAATAGGAAAAACAAATTGCCATGGAAACAGAAGGTTCAACATTGTTACTTGTTAGCATTCCATACTCTAGAACCAGGATTTCCAAGGAGTTGGGGACAGAAGCTGGTTTTGCATTTCCTCCCAGATCCATGCTTGTATCTGAATATTTGAGATGAGCCTAGGGTTCTCTGTTTTGTTCTGAGCTGTTGCCTAATGGCTGACCAGGTAGGAAGGGGTTCGCTGCTTCTCCCCAACCCGCTGTGATCACAGGGGAATAGGCCTTCAATGGCCCAAAGGCGTTTCAGAGCTGACACTTCAGAACCGTGGGCAGCCAGATGCCGCTTAGCCCCGTCTTCATTTGGAGCACTGAGAAGGGCAAGGAGTTGAGGTCAGGTAGCTGAGCAGCGGCAGAGTGCGGTCGGAGCCTGGTCTCTCAGTCCAGGCCCCACAGGTACTGCTCCAAAGACCGCTGGGGCAGTTGGACTGCTCGTCCGAGTTTTACAAAGGTCATTGGAGAAGAGACTTTGAAAGACTCCCCTCAGCAGGTGGGGACGGCAGACAACGTGCTCTTCATTTGCTTCTTGGGCTCTTTTCTCACCCAGGTGTCTGTCTCACCTGCCCTCCGCCCTCTTCACCTGCTGGGCTCAGGCCGCTCTGCAGCTGTGTGCTGCCTCCATCCCAGCTCTCACGGGATGGAAGAGTTTACTCTGCACCCTCTCTTCTTTGGTAACAGTGCTGGTTTTGTTCCCCCTTGAGTTGCTGTGGAGTTCCTCCCTTCATCTTCCTTGTCTTCCTCCTTCTGGTTTTTCTGTGGTAGTCTGTTCCTGTATCCCCAAGACACCCTACTCTTTCTCCTTAGTGGCTTCCTGCCTTTGGATAAGAGATGGTACTATTCATTATTGAATTTGAAATACAGCAGATACTTAAATTGATAAGATCTAGCTTGCTGCAAAAGCATCCTGGGAGGCAGAAGGTGATCACTTAAGTACCCGGGACCCTGCCGTGCACGTGGGACACTGACGCGTTTCTAGGCTTTTAGTCTGGTACAGCTGGTGTTGGGACATTTGGGAAGTCAATCAGCAAATGGAATATCTCTGTCACCCAGACTTTTAAGTAAATGAAAATAAACGAACAAACATTAAGACTCCAAGCCGGGCCTGGCGCGGTAGCCTAGTGGCTAAAGTCCTCGCCTTGAACGTGCTGGGATTCCATATGGGCACTGGTTCTAAGCCTGGTGGCCCCACTTCCTATCCAGCTCCCTGCTTGGGGATAGGGAATAGTACAAGGTTTAGAGGAGCACCAATTTGGTAGGGGGAACCAGGGTTAAACAATGTTGGGGGAGGAGATCGATAGTATTTGCGACAAGTAACTAAGTAAGCAGACTAGCTGTAGTAGAAATGATCTGAGTTTCAGTTTATTTGATACAGTTTAAATGCAGTGTCCATTAGACCCCCAACTAACTGTCCTTTGACAGGCAGCTGTGGGTTGTTACCCCCCACCCCCAGAGAAGCCCCGGAAAGTCACTGGGGCTCAGGGAAGGCTGTCCACGCTGTGAGCTTGAGCATTGCATCCAGAATAGTTCACTGCGACCTCAGACTTCAGGACTCTGCTGCTGTTCCTTCAGCGTGCACACAGATCACCGTGGGCCTTCAGGTGCCTTTTGCGATTACAGAGGAGTGGGGCAGACAGGCCGATGCTGCTGGGCCAGAAATTATACTTTGACTAGCAAGATTCTAAAAGCCCTAGAAGTAGTAGATTTTCTACAACTCTGTTTCTTTGCCTGGATTCATAATTATCCTGATAGAAGACCTGAAGTAAAGTATACTGAGAAATACTTTCACTCAGTCCTGGATTGCATCTTGGGAGCCTCAGAGGGGAGCACAGATCACAGCATCACAGCAATAGAATTATGGGTACTCACATAGATCCCTGGAAATTCTATTCCGATTGTCTAGAAGACAGGACAGGAAGAACTTGTAAAGTTCAGATGTATTTTCAACAAAATAGGTAAAACCAGTTGTGTTTATGTGGACAAATGTAGCAATCTGGTACCCCCCCTCCCAAAGTCCATAATTATCTTCATTCTTAAAAGCTGTTAATAGGTTTTCTGAGGTGCCACCTGCCACTTGACATATTTAGGTAGATTTGTATAGGCTGCTCTTTAGTGAGAAGTAAAAGTGGAGTCTGCTCTGTTGGGGCACAGTGGTGCTGACTCCTTTCAGTAGAGCTTAGTGGTACTGACACCTCCGACCACTTCTCCATTCCCCTGAGCTGCCTGTGCTGCCGTGACGTAGCCCTGTGGCATCTCAGCCTAGGAGTGAAACACTGAGAGGCAGAGAGAGGGAAGAGTGCGTGCTAGCCAAGTTCCACTCTCAGGTTCACTCAGGAACACATGTGAAATACAAGTTTGGAGCCAGGTGCATTTTGAAGTCTCACATGAGTGGCAGGAACCCAATCTTGCGTCTGCTGGTTTACTTCTTGAGTGCCTGCATGCCAAAGTCTGCAGCCTGGAGCTTACTCCAAGCCTCCCCAAGGGTGAGAGAGGGACCCCAAGGTCTCAAGTCAACTAATGCCTCGTAGGGGTTTTAGCAGGAAGGTGGGCTCATGCACTAAGATGTGGGATATGGGGTTGACAAGCAGCACACTGCTCAGAGAACACATATTCTGGCACCTAGAAGAGACTGGAAGAAAGCATTGTTGATCTTTTAATTTTTTCACAAGATTTATTTACTTTTATTGAAAAGTAGATTTACAGAGAGGAGAGACAAAGATTTTCTATCTGCTGGTTTACCCCCGAAGGGTGGAGCCGAGCCAATCCAAAGCCAGAACTCAGGCCATAAGCAGGGAGCTGGATGGAAAGTGGAGCAGCAGCCAGGATACGAACTGGTGCCTGTATGAGATCCCAGTGTGTGCAAGGTGAGGATTTAGCCATTAGGCTATTGTACCAGGACTCCATAGTTAATCTTTTGCATAAGGTGAAAATGTTGCAATTGCTTGGAGATAATATTTTTAATTTACATTATGGTCAAAAGCTTTAGTTAAAGACCCTAGCTCCTATAGATTTTGTGCATACACGTGTATGTCCTGTGCAGCGTAAGTTAACAGTAGTTAGAGACTTGTCTCTGAGTCTCTTCCTTCAGTGTTCTAATTTCAGCCTTGGCTGGGTGGTTGAGGCTTACCTCACTAAGGCAGCCATAGGTCTGTTGAGTCTGCTGTTTGGGAAGGGTGTGGCCGGAGTGGTTTCCTTTATTCCCTGGCCTCTGCAGCAGTGGCCTTGGTGTGGAGTGTCCTTTAGGCACACCCAGTGCACTTGGCCTTCCAGTGGCTGTCTGGGAAACGAAGGGTCACTGCTGTAAAGTGTTCTTCCTTTCTCTGAAGTTGTTTCCTAATCAGTTACTACCCAAACATCCTTTGTTTAAAAGCCTTAAATTTGCCTCTTCAGAAATAAACTTGAGTTCACATTTGCCTTACAGCAGCGTTTTCTAATCAGGCCTTAAACCCTCACTTTATTCTGAAGTTCTGTAAATAACTTTTGAGAACTGATGTTTGCATCTGCTGTTTGACTCCCCAGATGCCTGCAAATAGCAGGCTTGAGTGGGAATCAGGGTCTCCCAAAGGGGTGGCAGGGATACAGGAAATGAGGCTATCACTGCCTGCCTCCCTGGGTGTGCAGGAACAGCGCTGGAATCCGAGAAGTGGACATGCCATCGTGGGATGCAGGTGTTCCCACAGTATCTTAACGACTGGACCAAACACCTGCCCCGCTGTACATAGCTTGTGCCAATAGTCATACCAGAAATTGCATCTAAACAGTGACCTGGATTCGGAATCCCTAATTTCAATAGTTTTTAACTTACTGTGTGACTCTGACCATCTGAGGCCTGAATCTCCTGTGAAGGCAGGAGTGAATTTTCAGGTCCTTTGTGTGGAGTTGGTTGGCTGGTGACAGAAACAGCTCACGGGAAGAGCTCTGGGGTCTTCCGATAATATTTGTGTTGAAGGCTTTTGTCATTAAACAGGTTGGAAAACCAGCAATTAAGATGGTATTTGAGACTGCTTCCAGCCTTGGCATTCTCTAATAACAGCATCTTCTTGTATATTAGGCAAGGACACCTAAGCATATCACACATAGATAAACACCACAGTTCTTCGTCAGTAGGTCTGGTTCTTGGTCTTCACCAAGGTCCTTGACTAGGCATTCCACTGTCCTGCCTCTTTCTCCTGTTGTTGTTTTTGGCTAATACTGTTACCCACATAATCTGTAGGCCCCTTCCTCTGTGTAGTTACTTGGTCTTTAGCAGTCTGGAATGTCACTAGCCTGCTCCTTCAGGAATCCCTGGCCTGGCTGGCTCATTTCACTTTGCTTTGTCTGGCATTTCAATGTGTCAAGCTGAGAGAACACAGGATCCTGGTTTCATTCTAAACCAACCCAGTACCTACTATATTATTCTATGGATCCAGTCATTAAGCTTAAACTCCTTTCTCTTTCAGGATAGAATCATTCATTTGGTTGTTGGAAGCTTAACATCCTTATTGATTCTTGTAAGTATCTTGTACTCTACCCAGGTTCTTGGTCAGTTTTGAGAATTGTGGTTCAGTAGCTTTCAAACCAAACAGAACATTAGTGAGGTGTGAATAGGTGAGTATGCAAAGCATTTCAGTCAGTATGAATGCTTTGCATGTCGTACTACAAAAATGCAACTGAGTAACTAGAGTGTCTTAAGAGTGTCTGATTTTTCACCACCCTTCACAGTAGAGTATGTGAAGTAGTGCAAATCAGATAATTGGGGCTTCAGTTAACTGAGTTTGCCAGGTTTGCCTGCTTGCTTGCTTGCTTAGTAGTAATATTTTGTTGTTTCCTGTTGATAGGAATTGTACAGTGTATTAGAAACCCATCTTGCAGTGTTTTTCATGTCAAACAAAACCCACTTTGATTGTATTCACTTTTGCTAGGAGTATGCAAAATAACAAAGAAGCAAAGTCATTTGTTCTGTGGTTGAAATGAGTTTTCATCTTTGTTAGAGGTTGATACAGTTTAACTAGTCTTACCTCCTGAAGAGGGAGTAATAAATCTTGAACATATCTACAACCGATTTGTTAAAATTACATTGACATTCCAGAAAGCAAGCCTGGCGGCAGAGAGTATGTAAGGTGAAGCATCTGTAGTGTCCCTCTGCCTAGAGCCCAGCTGACTGTTTTACCTTCAGAGGACACGGTCCTGGCCTTACTAGACTTGTCTTTACAGGTAACGCTCATCAGCGCATTTGTTTTCCCGCACCTACCTCCAAAGCCGCTGAATATATTTTTTGCTGTCTGCATCTCTTTGAGTTGTATTACTGCCTGCATTCTGGTGAGTACTCTTTAGAATTTCAAAGGAATGTATATAGAGTTTATATACAGATGACACAGACTTGATGTTGGTCACTTCGAGGGGAACAGGAAGGCTCCCAGAGGAGGATGCCTCTGCTCCCAATTTGAACTAGTAGGATTTGAAAAGTGATCTTTTTAGGCAATACCTAGAAGAGAGTTAAACCTTTTACTCAAATAGTGTTAAAATAGCTGATGAATGACTGGTTGTCTGTATGGGGTTGAACAAAGTAAACTGAGAAAAGTGTGAACATGGGTGTGGAGACTCGGGTAGTACTGCTTGACTTAGAAGGAGTAAGAATTAAATCTGGCTACCATTTAGGGAAATAGAAGTACTGATTAACAGTTGGCTTAGGGAACATTAACTTAAAAACTTTTATTTAACTCTTTCAGATCTACTGGTATCGACAAGGAGACTTAGAACCAAAATTTAGAAATCTAATTTACTATATCTTATTTTCTATCATCATGTTATGTATATGTGCAAACCTGTACTTCCATGATGTGGGAAGGTGAGGCGTCCGAGGACAGACACCTACCAGGACTCTTCCAAACCGCATTATCATAGTGAGAACCTGTCGGATGAGGTAATGCTGGTAGATGGCCTCGAAATCTGATACATGATTTTCATGTTAATTGTAAATCTGAATTCCCTATTGCAAGGGAGACATGGATCACTTTGCTTTTACTTTAACACTGTTGCATGTGAACATCCCAATCCTTACAAGCTTTTTTTTTTTTACTTACACTGTATTTGCACGGCAATGTAACAACAACGTATTTTTTAGGACAAATATTCTTTTATTTCTGTTAAATTGAATATACAGTTGTTCCCTAGGCAACCAACTTCTGCATGAACTACAGTTTCACATTAACAAAACACAGACAGTAAAAAGACACTTTGATTGTGAAGATCTAATTACAGTAATAAATAAAATAATTTATACAATGTTTCTGTGACTTTTCTATAGGGGTCGTGTTCTTTCAAGACTAGGCAGAGGCTAGTTTTGGCTTAACTTTTTTCTAGTTGGAGGAATGACTATTTGTTTCCTTTTGTTAACAGAAGCAAATTTTGTGTTTTGAGAAGAAGTTATATACCATGCTCCCAACCAGTTCATACACTAAATTAATTGTAAACTCTAGTGCCCACCCACTCCAGCTATTTTTAGGGGTAATTTATATAGCAAAAGAAGAAATAATGAACAGTCATGGGATAGGCAACATTATTTCTCTCCCCATCCAATTTAGTTTTACTTAAAAGTAGTTCAGTTACTTTTCCAATTAATGAACAGTGGTTTCTTAAATGGCTGGGAACTGCTCGCTTCTGGTGGGTTTTGTTAACTACTCTCACCTATATTCCTTTTAAAAGTAATAATAACAATTAAAAAAACTTGTAGTGAATTTTCTTGACTCTTTAATGCTTTCCCCTCTACCCTGCCTAAATCAGCTCCCACTGCCAGCAATGGGCTAATAAAGTAAGTGCCATACAGTCAAGTCAACTATTAGGGCTCTGTAATTTGATTGTTGGTCAAATATCAAACTAGAACATGCTGATAATGAGTTCTTCAAAATATAACCAGGCTTATGTGAGGCTGGATAGAAAGTTCTGTTACTGCTTTTCAACCAGAGCAGTTAAGCTTTGCTGATACTTTTCTCAGGAGCTCAAGTAATGACATTCCCTCTAGTAACAGGAACACGGGTATCTGCAACTCACACTGTCATCAAACCCAGGTAAGGCTTCAGCACTGGCTGTGCAAAAGCCAGAGGAATAAGCCTCGTGGGAGCTGCTCCTATTTCTTTGGAGCAATGGTCACTGACAGTGTGGCTTCTTTGCTTCAACTGTCTAAGAGTTACCTAATGACAGTTTACCAAATCCTCAACATCCTTCGAGTCTTCTGAAGCAGGACTGCACAAAGATGAACCAATGATATTTGATTCTTCCTGATGATGGAGTATTGGATCTGTAATGAGTTAAGTTTCAAGTTAGTCTTAAATACATATGTGCTTTTAAATCCATGCCAATATAGTGTGTACAGTTTAGTGTATAGTGGATCAAAAAGGACTTGATTATAAATGTCTGACAACTTGATATTAATGTATCAGGCACTGGCAATAGTTATATTACAGTATGGTACCTGTTAGTGTTGTCAAAGGCAAGACACATTCGGTATCTATTGTATCAGATGTCTGGATAAAGCCATGTGGTGAAGGAACAATCAGTATTGTTTCATCATCAATTGTTTGATGAACTTGTTCTATGGTGGGAGACTCTAAATCCTAAAAAAAAAAAAGGAAAAAAAATTCAGACTTTTTTTTAGTAGAGATTTCAAACATACAGTAAGTATAGGATTTGCTCTCAAACTTATCCCATTTTTAAAACTACAATACAAAGAAAGGTTAGTATCTTAAAATGGACAATAACCTATAATTCCAAATCGAAACTAATGCAGGTACAGGTCTTCAAGAAAATAGTGCTGTCACTGTGCTGGGCTGAAGTTCCTAAGGAGAATCAGAGCTCTGTTCCTAAGAACAGGGTAGGCTTCCGTCAACATTGCTCTGTGCACTACAGGTGGGGTGGACAGGGGCAGAGTTTTGTTCAACTCCCTTGACTGTGGAAAGAAATCTTTGCCCATTTCCATTAGCAACAACACGGCTGGTTCACTGATCAGTACGGAGGCAGTACCACCCAAACCCCTCCCAAGTATCTGCAGTGGTGGCTCCAGGGAAGTCCCTGGCAGGCTGTTCTCAGGAGCACCTGGACTTACCTCTGTAACATAAGCAGTGGCTAAGTGAGAGGGGGACTCCGCCTCCTGTTTAAGGCGGGTATCCAGTATTTCTTCAGTTCTGACCATAACACTGTTTATCAGTTCTGTGCTGTTTTGGTCACTGAATTTGGATACATGAGCATCATTAAATGATGGCTCCACAGTCATTTTTGGTTGATGGATTTCATCTGGGAAGGTGTCTGCTTCTAGTGCATCTGGAGGCGTGGGAAAATCAGATGACTGAAGATCAGTGTCTACTGCCAGTTCTGTTTGGGATATGGAAGAAATATCCTCAGAAGCAACAGTCTGGATGATGACCCTTGGTGTGTGACACTGAAGTGTGACATTGTCATTTGTGTTCAACAAATGCTCTGGCTGTAAAATGGTAAAGGGAATTATTAATGACAAAGTTAAAAAGCATCCAACAGATTTGTTTATCCATTCTTACTCCTAAATCCTCTATTGCAGCGTATATCCATTGTGCTTTTAGTGATGGTGCAAAGCTACCTGAGACAACAGCAGTAAGAAGAACTGCTTAGATCAACCATCATAGTGCTGGTGCTTCTATTTTTAAATTAAGTATCTGAGTACATAGCACATTCAAAAGGCAAGTGACTGATGTTAACATACAGATAAAGCGTGAACAATGATCTGTTCAGGAGAAGCAGGAGCAGCAGCTGCCAGGGTCACTGTGGGACTAGCCGTCAGAGTCAGAGGAAGGCCTTGACTTGCACTTGTCTGAAGCAGGTAGGTGCCTGGAGTGCCAGTGGGCTGTAAATGGAAAGACTGAAGAAAAAAAAAAAGTTGGAACTGACTGCCGTTCTGTCTGTCCCACACGCCACATTTCCCTTCATTTCCCTTAGCCAAATGCAGTGACCTACTTTACAGATTTGTCCAGTTTGGAAATTTTGAATAAGTGGGAACTACATACGGATTTTTTTTTTACTTCAATAAGGTTATATTCTTGATAAGCTCATAAGCATAAAATTTTAAAGTAAAAAACGCATTTAGTACTCAGTCTAGCAAACATCACAGTTGAGCAACACTCCTGGCACAGCACCCCTCTTCACCCCTGCAGAGCCTGTTGGCTCTGCTCAGCAGCACAACGGGAGATCTGCAGCACTGAACGCTACCCAGCAGAGATCACATCCCAAATTCCAGTAATTGCAATTGAATACATGTTGCTTTAACACACAAAACTGAGGGCTGTCCCTATATTTTGTCTAGTGTCTTTAACACTGTGTATTCAAGGTTTATTCCTTTTGGTAGCTCAGTGATGTTTGTGTGCAAATAATACATTTTCCCATTTATCAGCTTATAGACATTGGGTTATTTTCATCTTCTGGTTATTCTGAATAATGGCTACGAACATTTATACATCAATTTGTACCTGGACACACATTTTCATTTTTCTTAGATGACTTATAGGTGTTTTCGGATTGTTTGAATTCCTGAACAGTAGGCTAAACAGGATAACCAAACTTTTTCCAAGTGGTTAAACAGTGTAGAACTAGGACTTTCAAATTTTGTATTTGGCTGGTACAGTGTTTACTGAGAATGTGTGTTGTTCAACAGCTCATGGTTAATATTCAAACTTTCTCAAATATCAACATTTTTTATTATAAATTTATGACAGTACAAATCCTTAATATACAGCATAGCCATTTACATACATAAAAAGAATATACTAGGTAATATACAGATGAGGAAAAACATTATGTCTTGTCTACTACCCATGTGACCTAAAGTATCTTACCTGTTTATAAAATAAGCATTCCTGAAGATGGTACCAATTCATCTTTCTAAAATGCAGAAACATGGATAGCACCCACTCTATGAGTATTACTCACCGGGAGGATCTCAAATGCCTGTAGTGTTCCACTGTTTAGTGTTATTGTTTCCGAGTCAACAGTAGCAGCGGAGGAGTCTGTTGAAGCTGTAGTGAGATCGAGGACAAGAATAAAATGCTTCACAACTTGAAATTTCTCAGTGTACTTAACTCTCATGATGTCAGTTTAAAAATCTGCCTGGAAACATGAAGTTGTTTAAACTGCTTATGAGAACCTAACATTTATCTGAGGTAACATATGGATTGGGGTCAGTGCACTGCCAGTTCTGCCCGACTGACGGTTCTTCTGGGACACACCCATGCCCGTTCATTTGCTTTTACTATGGTTGCATTCGGTTATAACAGATAACATGAGGTTTATAAATGCCTAAAACATTGTAGTATCCAACATTTCCTATTAAATGAAAGATGCTATTATTCTAGAAGGTCCTATTTGGGGGACTGCACAACACAAAAGATCAGATCTTTAAGGAGTGTCAATCTAGAATCAGACTACTTAAAGTACAAGTTTATAATGAGACTTAAAATTCATGTAGGTGAACAACAAAAATGATTTAGAAGTGAGTTTTAGTTTAATACGTAGTACTATGGTCAGACTATAATAAAGTAATGGTTACACTTCTTGCTGAAAGGAATGTAACGCCCTTACTTGAGTCCTGTTACTTCTCTTAGTATTCTGCATTCTTAAAATAATACCCACAATAATTTCAGGTAGTTCCAGATTAGTAACCCAAATCAAGGTGAGCAAAAGTATGGTTAAGGACAAATGTGGCTCAAGGCTAAGAATGATTTTTACATTTTTAAAAATCAGCATTATACAATTACTTTAAAATAGTCATTTTTATTATCTGACCTTTAAAGAAAAAGTTTGCTGATTGCTGATTCCTACCCCCTAATGTGAAAAAAAAAGGGGGGGGGATGAATAAGAGAATATACTCCAAATGTTAATAATAGGCTGCTTATAAAATTGTTACTGAACTCACATTTGTAAAATGTCTACTGTATTCCCACAATCAGTTCTATCAAACTAATAGTGAAAGAAAACTGTTTAAATCTTCTTGCAGTTTACAGCCTGTAGCGATCATACTTATTTGTACTTATAATTTCTGCTTTCCAGTTTTTAGACTATTGAAACAAAAACAATCAGGGCTAAAGAAAATACATTCTTCATACTTTATTATGTTGGTAGAATGAGAAAGCAAGTAACCAAACTCAAATTAGAATTTTTAAGAGGCATTATTAGTTTAAAAGTCTCCCAGATGACTTTGCCAGATGCCTGGTACTAACATCACACACAGGTGTCCCGTGATTCTCAACCAGGGGAAGATTACTGACACATCTTCTATGTACTATGTCAAATCTATCTCTAGTTTGCTGCCTCACTGGCTGACCATATTTTAGGTAAGTTTCTATTAATCACTGATTCTTCTATTTGAGTGGTGAGTTTCTATTAAATCATTAATTATAAAATCCAATGACTTTTTAATAACCAGGTAATTGGTTCTAACTTATTGCTGACACACTGTGTAAATGCTAAATGTAAACTTTACATCTCGTTTAAGTGAAGCCAACCAAATTTCCTTCAATGCTCGAATATGACTGAAAGCAGCAGAGCTGCCAGCCAGAATCCTCCAGGGTCGAATGGCAGGCGGTCTTGTGCTTTCAACACTTACAGACATGGGTGATCTGCACTGGGATCTGCAGTGCTGCCGTGGGACTTGGAGAGACGGCTGCATTCTCTTCCAGGCGGGCAACTCTGATCTGAACATGCTGTACACTGGAACTGCAATTACTGCTGGGGACTCCGGATCCAGATTTGTGCTCCAAAAGTGTTGGGTTGTTTCTTTGGTTTTCATGTAACTGTTTAAGACCTTTTATTAAGACTGAAGGAAGATGGGTAGACAAAAAGAACATTGATTCTCCGATAGACCACCATCTAAGCAACATGGCGGGCGGGGTGGGAGAGGGTAAGGAAGGAAAGTATTTGGAATAAATTATTGTATGTTGGTATAAGAGCTTATTACAGTAACAATAAACACTTTAAATCATGAGTACTGAAGCTTTTTGGAAGCACTACCGATTATAACATTTAAAGAATTCAGTACTGTCAGCTGAAATTAAACATATGTCGTAGGCTTTTTTAATAGAAGCCTAGTTTAGGTGCTCATTGGCACTTGACTGGCCCCTTCCTCAACAGGAATGAAACAGCTTGCAGTTCCTGCACAGAGAGCTATTCCACACTCTATCATGATATTTGGTAACTGGGTGTTTAATTTTCAAAAGTTGGAGTTTCATCAAATCAGAGTTCCTAAGCATTTAATTTTCCTTTGGGCGAATGGGAAATTGGAGTGCTATACTATGGGCAATGAATGGGATCAAACACTGTATAATTTGATGCCTAATTTCAAAACAGGCACCAAAGGATATGTTATGCCTCACTTTGTAAGATTACAAGAATAATTTTCTGGTTCATAAAAAAGGATTGTTGGAGTTTATAATGAATTAGTAATATATACAGGGTTTTACAAAATAAACTGCCACATTCAAATCATAATTTGTCTTAATTTAAATTTTTGAAACATCTTTGTACAAAATGAAAATGTTAAGATTTTAAATTCATAATTTCTGTAGAATAAGGATTATTTGTCTATTTTCACATTAGGTGCAAACTACAATTATGAACCCTTTTCTCAGGAGGAAAGGGCAACTCCCCAAAGCAAAGTATCATAAGTTTCAAGTGGTATCTGCTGCAATCTCCTTTTACTTGAGGCAAACAACTTGCAACTTCTAACCCTACTGATTAAATGTGCTGATAGCAAGGGAGGATTAACAGCAAACAGTACTTCACCAGGAAATGAAACATCCTTATGGTTTGCAATTTGCCTTTTGATGGTCCACCATTTACTTCGAAGCCATTGTGGTGAACGGACGCTGCTCCATCCCTCAGCCAGCAGATCCCAGTTTATGTCATTTTCATCAGCCACATCAAGCTCTGCTATCCTACAGAATGGAAAAATAAGCATGCATTAGATGTTAAGTTTATTTTTCCCTGGGGACTCTCCTCTAACCACAAGTGATAATGGTACTGACAAAGTATGCCAACTAGATACTACCATTAACTTACATGGGGCAAGGATTCCTGAACAGAACTGCTTTCAAAGCTAAGAAATACCACTAGCAATTATCTTGTTAGAAGTACAGAAATGGTTTGAGCTGTAGTGAATGGTTAGAAACAGATTAAGAACTGTGAAGGAAAGGGAACAGGCTGAAGGTTAAAACAACATAGTTAGAACATGTTCTGCTGTACAGCTTGCTGCAGTGTTTTATGCTGTGACTAGACTAAACCAGTTCCTGGATCTGTGCCTTCCATTTGTAAAACAAGAATATTCAGAAATGAACTATTTGAATGTAAGGACAACTAGTTGGTTAAAAAAAGAGTAAAAATAAAACTCAATGCAATGATAATGAAAAAAAGACAAGAACTGCAACTAAAAAATAACCAACAAAATTGTACAACTAAATCTGGAATTACAAAAGCCTGTATGTCTTCTGGCTTTTAATTATGACACATCGGACTTGATTAAGGAGCAGCCACAGTCTGTTACTTTGGGGTCATCACAGCAGCCAAAGATTGAAGGGGGTGGAGACTGAACAGCCCTCTTACCCTAACCAGGTTCCCCGCAGGCCAGCTCAGAGGAGGCACATTGGTGGGACAGTGGAAAAGCTACACTGCCGCTGCCTGTGCCGTACCTGTTGTGTGGTTAGACAGGCCTTCAGTCTCCACACCTTCAATCTGGTGCACCAGGGCACTAAATGCACTAAAAAGAACAAACACAAAACAAAACAAGAGCTCAATATGAAATACCGAGGATCTAAAACAGAGGCTTTGAATGGAAAGGATGCTTTCGAGGTTAAGGCAACCAAGGAAATCAAATGAAGAGGGTAAATTATGACATTCATAGCCACGAAGTTAAACAGTTCTGTAATTAAAAGATTCAGGACACAAACCTGAGGATGAGATTGATTTCATCTTCCTTGGTCCATTCGGTACCCCCACTCTGTTTCCAGTTCAGGTAATTGAGCCATTTAGAGCGACACTGCTTTTCTGAGCGGGTACCCACTCGTTCAGCCACAGCTGCCCAAGACACACCCTGTGTAACTATGTCTCCCGGTTCAGTGCTTGTCAATTCATGAACCACCTCTGCAAGTCTCTTTTCTTCTTCTTCTGTCCACTTCCCTGCAAGAAGGAAATCATCCAGACCACCACTGCTACGATCTCTGACAAACCTGATTCTGCCTACTATTTCCAAAGCCTGATGGGAAGAATGCAGTAATTAGTACCAGCGTTCTATTTCTGAATGACCCTACTAGGTTGCATTTTACTAGTCAAATATTAAAGAAAACAATCCTAATGAAGAGCACAGACTTCTTAAGGAAAAGTGTTAACCCTACCTACAAACAAAGTCCTCAAGTTGCACCAAGTGCTTTCTGTGCCAACAACGAAGTAGGAAGGCTTAAATTAGGAGCTTCATGTGACACAGAAATTCACAATTTTTTCTTACTCCCACCTAAGATTCCTTGTTTGGCAGAATGGGAGTTAAGTTTAAGATGCTGTTATCTTCAGGTTTTCAAGGTAAGTGGAACCCCTCTAGGCTTTCCTTTCCCTAGTGAAAACTTGGCTTATATCCTTTTATTTTCCCAACTATTCCAAAGCCAAAAACCACTTAACACCTAATAAATTCTGAGAATGCTATTTGTGCATATTTGCATCCCTTGTTTGGTTGTAAACCTAACTTTGAAATGTCAAATCCCTGATGCCAAATTTTCACTTTGGTCTTCATGTTATAGAACTTGAGCAGAGATCAAAAGTAAAACAAAACAAAACAAAACAAAAAAACAACAAACCAACCTTTTTATTTTATTAGCAGGTAAAAATGTATGGAATCATTCAGACTATGTATTTGTTTCACCGTTATTCTACGTATTAACTGAATGCCTGTTAAGGACTCTGCCTCGCCCTGACTGCTGTGGATCTGTTTTCATGGTTTGGACACACAGGAAGGAAGCCATCAGAAATTACGTGCTGCAACACGAGGAGTGCAGGCAGACACTGCAATCAGCAAGGTCACTTCCAATTGTGTTCACGACGTCTCACAGGAAGCCTCTGGGGTCCTAACCCTATGTCTAAGGCTTCCATCCCCATCTTATCCCACAGAGTTGGTGGAATTTATATTCTTACTGTCTTGCTATATAATAATAGTGACAGTGCAACAGATAAAAGGAAACATTCTTGACTTCACTTTACAAGAATAAGGGGGTGAGGATAAAAAATATGCTTTAGGAGATGAAACTGAATTAATTTGAGAAGTATTTATTCAAAGACTGAGCACAGACTGCATCCTCCTCTCAAGAACATCAGGGCAAAGGGAACTGGGAGAGCATGGAGTCTAAACTCTTCAGACTCAGGCACAGAAAAGTAGTGTCACACTTGATGCAGAGCCTGTATACTATTACTGATCACAAAGGCCAACTTTAACAGCATCTTCAATCCATACGTGCACCTTAACAGGCATCAGTAGTCCGCCCTGGGGACTGAAATACCAGTACTAGTCACATCATTGGTGAAAAAATATAGCGAATTAACCACTTTTGAATACCACCTAATCTGACACCTACAACTGAAGTTGTTTGTAAGCCTGTGTTAATAAGCTGTTTTTCACTTTAATCAATTGGAAGGCACAAAATTAAATTTCCTCCAGCTTTCAAAAATTCATGGAAAATGTGTATTATAAAAAACTATGCAGTGATTTCACAATTTTTATACACAATAAGCTCATATTTTAACTCCATTTTCCATGAATTTTATGAAGTACCTTTACATGTTTTAAATACCTCCCCAACAGGAACAATTCTGAGCTGCCAGCAAACAATATGCTACACTTAAACTCCCTTCAGAGCCAAGGAGATGCTGTGTCCTTGTGTTCACAATATCACACAAAACAAAGATCAGTTAGTTAGGTCTGTTTAGTAGGCTGAATAAAAACAGAAGACCAGAAAATGAAATCTGAACTACATAAAATGGAACAAAACTTCGGCAAAGAGACGAGATCGCATTATCTGCATGGCGACAAGCTGCTGCCAGGGGCACCAGTACCTGTGTTGCAGGTGTCCTTCATCAGCCGGCACCGATCTTTGACGGAAGATGCACTTCTTCCTAGCGCCGCCCCTATTGTTGCCCAGTCATTGCCATGCTTTATCCGGAGCCTAAAACAAGAGTCTGCCAATCAGCATTTGGTTCAACTGTTTTCTCCCTTTTAATTTCATCATTTAATCTTCATTCTTCTTCTTCCCATTTGACTGGTATGGAAGTTGTGGGCAGCAATACTTTGAGAGCCAAAGTTTGAAAGTGTGGCCTTTTTGGGGGGTCCACAGTTGTCTGTGGGTGAAAAAAAAAACAGGCAGCAATTGCCTTTTTCCTGGGTCAGAGAAGAAATAAGTAACTTGGATATGTGTTCAAAAAGACCAGATTTCCCCTCCGGTTACTGACACACTCTCCCAGGCAAGCTCCCTATTTTTCCCTTTTGAGCAGAATCTAACAAGCTCTCATTCAGACATCAGAAAAAGCCACTGGGATGAACAGGACTGACTGTAATTTTTACCATGATCCAAATAATCCATTAAAAATCATATTTTGCGATCCTAATTCAATGAAGCAAGATTATATTCCCTAATAGCTTTATATATGGTAGAGACAGCCCAGATGTTTGGCAGTGAAGTATCTGCCAAATCACCATACTAACTAAAGCTGGCAAAGCCCTGGTTTTGATCCCACAAATTCAGTCTTCACACTGCCTGAAATGGCCACCTCATCATTTCTGGAAACCTTTATAGTGGGCTGAGGAAGCTTTCGGAGACTGGTAACAGGAAACTCAACTCGTATGCATGGCTTCATGACAAACTCTAGATGGTCAATTATGCAGACTAAATTACACCAGTCTACCAAAAAATCTTAAATTTTCAAATCAAAAGTAAAACAAAACAAAACAAAAAAACAAACAAAAAAAGCCCCATAAAACTTACTCCTTCAGCTTCTCAATTTCTTCAGGTGTATACCTAGAAAATAAGGGAAATTTTTCAAAAAGAATTATTAGTAAATCACTTTTACTTAGGGAACTTAATGTTAAATCATGCAGCATATTGATAATAGTGCTAATAATTTTAAAGTGGATTAATAAAAGTAACAAATACTGCTATTTTCTTACCAAAAAGACCAATAAATTACAGTAAAGAATCACAAAATTTTTCTATAGAAAATAGCAATATTTAAAGCATATGTTTGCATGTATACTGCTTAGTTGTTTATTTCAAAGTTAGGATTAGGCACCCTGGCATTTTTAATTAAATTGGAACCGATGACTTAGGGGTGACAGTAAACCAAAACTTAAAAAAAATATATCAAATTTGCTTAAGGTACAAAGAATCTAAGTCTTCCCCTTTTCCTCTACCTAGGCAGGGACATCTCCACTGGGCGAGTACTCAGTGCAGTCACTACAGTCTCATTTCTGAGATGTCCATGGTGATGCTGGGAAAGCCTGCTCATTTTGTTGCCACTGTGCTGCATGAAAATTTTATCAAGTTCCTAAGTCATTAAGAAACCACCATTTAAAAGTCTGTTTTTTTCAGCTATGAAAACATAATTCCTTTCAGCTTTGCAATATGCCACCATGAGCAGGCTGCTGAAGGGTCAGAAAACCAGGTACGCAGCAGCATGAGTTAAGCTACACACTGCCACCTGCAATTCCTGGTGAAGAACTAAAAATATGCCAGTCACACCACCTGTTGACTACAGTGCCTTCCCATCCACACCATCTATAACAGAAATCCATATGATTTCCAGAAATGCAATCAGCTTCCACTTGGTTTTGGTTTTGCTTTGTTTTTAAAGAAAAAAAATCATAAATCTTTAACTATCACTGTACTTCTTACACTGCTTTACAATAACTAAGTCTTATATGATTCACATCTAACGTCTAAAAACGATTTTATTACAATGAAATTTCATCACATTCTCTAAATGGACTAGGATAAAAACAGCAGTTATAGCTGTCTCCAATTAAGGCCTTGATCAGAACTATTTTTAAAAATAACAGTTCCTTAAATAATTCTCCTAATTACACGGATACATGCAGCATTACAAGTTTTCATACTTTCCCACATGGTTTCTGTCATCATACATGCGAAGCACTCTTCTATAAACTGCAAACAAAGGCCGGTTCAGACCCCATGCTATAGTCCTGTAGAAATCTTTCCTTTCGTCTTTCGACATCTCAAAGATGATTTCTGTGGCATCTTTTATTCCGCGTGCCTAAATGGGTTACATTTTTTTGATTTAGGAATTTCTGATAAAATGCATATGGATATACTATGCTTTTAAAATGTGTTTTAAAGTTACAGTTCATCAATGATACTTAGAAAAACGACATCACTAATTTAGTCACATACAAATATAAAATTCTTCAAGTGATAATAATAAATATTCCAAAAATAAACTATCAGATTCAATAAATCAATTAAAGAAACTGGAAGAAAATTCTAAGAGTAAAATGTATGGAATCAACAATCAGAACAGAAAAAAATACACAAATGTGCAGTTTGGACAAATAAGATTAATTTGAAATGATATACTTTTGGCAAAATTAAAAATACGAAAAACACCAGAAAAACTGGGATCTAAGCAGAGATGCTGCAGAAACTGTACAATCAACAGAAGAATTTTATCAACAATTTCATGTAAACAAATTTCAATTTGGACTAAAATGAGTAAATTCCTGGAAAAGATCAACTTACCAAACAAAGAAAATCAGATAGGCATAGTTCATCAAAAAAATTAATAATGTATTAGAAATCTTTCCCTAATGAGAACACTGATTTTGATGACATTAGTAGTAAATCCTACTCAAGAGATACAATTCTGACCTTAAAAAGAAGTTAACAGGGGAAATGTTCTTTGTCATCTTTCTGGGCTACCAGGATCTCCACAGCGAAATCAAAGACAGATTTAACACATCCGTGTAAAAGTGAATTTATCCCAGGAATGTAAGTTTTTATTAACTCAAAGAAAAAATTGCTTAAATCAATGATACAATCAATCATATCAGTACATTTGTGGGGAAAAATGTGAAATCTCAAGAGAAACAGCAAAAGCAATCATAAAATGCAATAGTCACAGGAATATGATCAAATTTTTAGCAAATTAGGATCTTGCAATAATCTAATACAAGAAATTGACAAAGAAAGTATGAGGACTAGAGAACAAATCATTTGCAGACAAAATTAATATTAGGGTATTATGGAAAAATGTGTATTATGAAAAAACTATAATAAGCTAATTTTTGGTATCAAAATCAGCTCATTTTTAATTCCACATTTCATGAACTGAAGCATTTTCATAGATACCCACATATCTGTGAAAAAAATATTTGATTAAAAGAACAGTTTAACAAAGTTGTTGGATATAGAGGCCAACAAATAGTCATTTATCTCTACACAAACTCATAATTATTTTTAAAAGCTCCATTTACAAGCGTATCAATAATTGAAAGCATCTGGATTAAATCTCAGGCAAGCTACAGAAGTCCTTAGTGGAGGAAAAATTTGAAAAATACTAAAGAACTAAGTAAAAATTACAGCTATACCATGTTCCTTCAACAGGTAAATAAAGCTACTATTTTCTCTCAAAATGATTTATAGATGCAATGCAGCTCAATGATTATATCAAAGTTTTTCTTTCTCTCTAAAGTAAAGAGCAAAGAATAACTAGAATATTCATGAAGGGCCGAATGCTTGAAACAGTGCTGCACTGCCACAGGCATCAGTGATGCAACCAGGAGGGGCAAGCTTGCACTGGAAATGCCTGATTTGGGGCAGAATAGACACTATGAGATTGGGAAAAAATGACAGCCCATAATCAATGTTGAAACAGTTGTCACTCATACAGAAAAATGTATAATTGAAAGCCTATTTCTTACTCTACAGGAAAAAAAATTATAAAATGCAAAATTGTATTTTTGTAAGCAGTATGATAGTATTTTCATGCCTCTGAGATAGAAAGACTTCTTAAGCAAGCATGTGGAATGAAAAAGACGATGATGAGTGTGACATTCAAGTTAAAAGCTGGCTCATGAAAATGACAAGACGCTACCCTGAGAATCACAACAGGAAAACCCTGGTTCAAAGTCAATCCCCCGTCCCCTGCCAAGATCACTACATCTTTGGGACATTTCCTATTTCTGCCAATCCTATATTCCAATCACCCAAATTAGAAATTGTATGCTGCCAACTCCTGGCTTTTTCTCTTCCTCAGTACCCAGTCACCAGGTTTTCCTACAGGCTGTTGCCATTCTATTTTTATTACCACAAGCTTAACAGTCTCTGTCATTCTCACAACTTGTTCCTTTTGGGTCCAGTGAAAAGTTTCAAATCTTGGTCACATTTCCTGCCCATTAACCAGTAAGTGGAACAGTCCGTGGACATCATTTAGGCTAATCTAAACAAGAAACCACCTTCATCTCCCAAGTTTAACGGGCTGACCTTTCTTCACTGCCTTATCTAACAAGCATCTCCCGATTTGAACTGAAGAGTGTTTGACCAGTAAACAACTTTCACACGCCTGGGACAAACTTTCAATGGTCACCGTTTCTGTTTCTCTCAAAAGGCTAACCTCTGAGGAGAAATCTTTCTTCCTTAAAAAAGAATTAAAGGTTTTAAATTTTTTAGTTGAAAACAGCACGGCAAGGTTGCAACTGAAATAAACTTCAGAATGTGAACATTCCAGGCAACATTTATTTATCTCTAACAACAGGACAGTTAAATAAATAATACTACTTAAAAGGTACATGGGGGCCCGGTGTGGTAGCCTAGTGGCTAAAATCCTCGTCTTGCACGTGCCAGGGTCCCATATGGGTGCTGGTTCTAATCCCGGCAGCCCTGCTTTCCATCTAGCTCCCTGCCTGTGACCTGGGAAAGCAGTCGAGGACGGCCCAAACTCCTTGGGACCCTGCACCCGTGTGGGAGACCCGGAAGAGGCTCCTGGCTCCTGGCTTCAGATTGCCTTAGCTCCAACTCTTGCACCATTTGGAGAATGAATCAATGGATGGAAGGTTTTCTTCTGTCTATCCTCCTCTCTGTGTATCTGACTTTCCAATAAAAAGAAAATATATCTAAAAAATGTTTATGGAAATAAATTTTTAATTTTCCATGAATTTTTAAAAGACATTCTCATATTGCATACACTTACGCACTTACCAAGTGTGCATCTCAAAGACGCACCTCTCAAATCTAACTCATGGACGAGGCAGCATGTCTGCAGGGACGAGGAGAGTGAAGATCTACCTTACGGAGTTCACACTTAACTATCAAGTTTTCTTAAATCCTTTATTGCTTATTTCCTATAAAACAATGATCCAATTCTTTGTCTTTTTTTTTTTAAGATCTGTGTTATTTTTATTGGAAAGGCACATTTACAGAGAATGAGAGACAGAATAATCTTCCATCTGTTGATTCACTCCCCAAGTGGCTGCAATAGCCAGAGCCGAGCTGCTCCAAAGCCAGGAGCCAGGAGCTTTCTCCAGGTCTCCCATGCAGGTGTAGGATCCCAAAGCTTTGGGCTGTCCTCGGCTGCTTTCCCAGACCACAAGCAGGAAGCTAGATGGGAAGTGGAGTAGCTGGGACAGGAATCAGTGCCCATATGGGATGCAGTACTGGCAGGAGGATTAGCCAATGGAGCCACTGCTCCAGCCCCATATTCTGGATTTAATAGCCCAGTCTTCTAGTGGTCGTTTCTCTTGGTTCAAATTAAAGGAGATATTTTCATGTATCTGGTCTTAATCTCTGGCATTTTTATTGAAGCTTTAATACCTTAGCCTACTCTAGTCTAAGACTTTCTTCCTGTCCCAATTTTGAGAATAAACTCTTTCTCTGAACCTTGTAGCATCACTGCTCACATGACACGAACCCTGTATTATTATTCACATATTTTCAGCCTTCCCAAATGGACTGCACTTTTTAAAAGCAAACACTCATGTTAAAATGAAAACATTATGTAAGACATTTACGAAAAGGACTAAACTTATAGGAAGTAAGCCTGGTTATGAAAATAAATTTTAAAAATTGTTAAATGTACTTCCATTTACATGAAACTCAGAGAGGACAGGCATATGTCCATTCACTAGCTCACTCCCAAAATGTCTGCAACCGTCAGAGCAGGCCAGGCCGAAGGCAGGAGGGTGGGACGCCGTGGGGCTACAGAAGAGGACGCTGCCTCCCAGGAATCACGCAACAGGAGGTCGAATGGGGAGTGACACAGGTCTTGAACCAGGCACTCCAGGTAAGAGATCAGCTTCATCCACTTACCTTGGATTTGTTTGTTTAGAAAGGGAAAGATAAACTCAAAGATGCATACTTTAGAATGCACACAACATAAATTAAACTCCTGTACAGGTTTCTTGAAAACATTAGGCTTTAAGATACTGAGATTTTTCAAGTGAAAATTTAAAATTTGTTAAAAAACACTATACTGTAATTACACACCTTAGAATTATTAAGCTAGAATAAATCAGCTAACCATCTTTAAAAAAAGATAGTGAAAAGCTCCTGGTAAGTACATACAGCATACTGCAAGGCTATTTTTACAATTACCAGTAAATAAATTAGTGAAAAAAAAAATGACAAGGTACCTTCAGATAGCGTTCAATATTGTTCATCAAAATATCAATTTCTTCCTTGGACCACATACCCTGCTTCCATTTATGCCCTTAAAGGAAATATTATTTTTAAAAAGTTACTTCCTTGAGAAGAATAAAGCACGGCTAATTTCACATTCATCCTAAAAATGTGAAAGAGTCACAAGTAAAATCGCTTTTGTAATTTTTTCTAAAAATCTTAGGTGGCTTATTTTCTATCTAGAATTGGGAAACAATTCATTCCAAGAAAAAAGTGTTCCCTAATTCTGGCTTCTAAGTTATAATTTATCTCACTTTAAGAGACAACAATAATGAGATTTCTTAAAACACTCTTCTGCTTTCAGCAGCAGTACAACACTGCTAAAACCCCACTTCAAAAAGGTAAATCATGACTAAAAGCTCCTGAAACTTTTCTGCGCTGAATCCTTATGGGGAATGAACATTTACAAAAGACTCCAGGGCAAGACAAAGACACACTGCATACCACATGATGTTTTCTTAACGAGTATTTACTGCACAGTGGCTGCAAAAAGTTAATTGTTCCTGATTGTTTACTTCAGGGTGGGATATACACAACTCTTGAAGTTTTGGCAGTAGCTTCCTCAGCTATGCCTGTGACTACATACATCGACACTGTCACATTAAGTGATGAGGGTCCACCAAACACATTCTGGAATATGGAATTAAAAGGCAACTTTATTTTGGAGCAAAAATTTCTTTTCCTAGCATATGTTTTCTACGAACTGCCTGAATACTCCTTGTGTTTTGTTTCTAAGCTGCCTAGACCAGTTAGTAGACCCCTGAAAAGGCCTGATCTCCACTCCCACAAAACAACTGTACTGTCTTAAAATGTCACTATACTTTTGTTCAAAATCTAAAATCTATTTACATTGGAAAGAGGAAAAATTAAAGTTCACCATCAAAAACAAAGCCAAATGAAGTCCTCAATCAATGGTGAAGGTCCAACTCGGAATCCTAAGGACTACAAGCCTTTCCATGTTTTTCACTGCACACTAAAATTCATTATTCATCTCACCTTTGTTTGTCAAAGAATCTTTATCTTCTTTAGTGGTAAACCAGGCTTGGCTAACTGCTGACACTTCTTCATTACCCAAGGGAGATATTTCACCTAGTTGCTCATTCTGTAAAATCTTGAAAAAGCAGCAACACGATTTAACAGCCAACCTTTTGATTAATCTCTTTCTTCAATATTGAGCATTATAAAACTCAAGCAATAAAGAATTAATTCCTGTTGGATATTGTAAAAATATACCCAATTTGCACACTGACAAATGTTCTTATTTTTTAGGGCAATATAAAAACAAAATATTTACATCAATATGACTTTCATTTAAAAAACTGGGTAGGCTTCTATTTTATGTAACAAGCTAGTACTCAGTCAAGCATTTTGATTAATACAGAAATTTAAAGTAATTTGTATATTTACAGACAGTAGATTGAGCTTACACAGAGAGCCATAATCAGTTGCAGATAGGGAAACAGTCATGGTAGAGTTGAGGGTTATGATGCTTCATGAAGGAAAAATGCTGGGCTAGTACTGGGGTATATTAAACTATCACTTGCAAAGCTGGCACTCCATATCCCATACTGGGGGTGCTAGTTTGCATCCTAGATGCTTTGCTTCCCATTTAGCTCCACTGCTAATGTGCCTGGGAAAGCAGTGGAAGCCAAACCCAGAACTTGGGCTCCTGCCATTCACATGGGATACCAGGACAGAGTTCCTCGACGCTGGCTTCGGCCAGAGCTCGAACACGGTGGCCATCTGCAGACTAAGTGCACGAAAGCTCTTTGTCACTCTGCCTTTCAAAAATACACAATGAATTTTAGAAAAGATTGTTCTCAAAAATATGCTTTTAAATATTTTGCTAAGTGGATAGATGAAACAGAAGAAAAAGCTATTGAAAAAGAAGACACAGAGTCCACGTATAAGTAAAATATATTCACACTGCAGGCTAAGAAAGCAAAGAATTCTGATTACTTTCAGCACAATTAATTTAGTTAGGTTTTACATGAGATAGAGCAGTTCACATAGCAAATGGAGGTTGATTACCAGCCCCCTCTCAGCAAATGATAAAGCATGCCTAGTCCTGTTAGTGCCAGAATGAACAGCAACAACCAGAACTAAGTGGTCTCCACAGCTCAAGTGAGATCTCTACACCTAGTGAGCGAATACACAGCACCAACTCCTGTTTCAACAGATGCAAACTGCTGCATCTTTTGCAATGGCTAAGATGCTGCTGCCTCACCCATCCCCATACTGGGGTTCCTGATCCAAGTTCTGGCTATTCTATTTAGAATTCAGCTTCCTGGTACTACACATCTTATGAATCAGAAGTTGGTAACTCAAATATCTGGTTCCCTGCCACCCAATTACAGATCCAGTCAGAGTTCCCAGCTTCACCAGGGCACAACTCTGGTTGTGATGGGTTCTGGGGGGATGAATCATCACAAAGGAACATCTCTTCTGTCTCTGTATGACTTTCTTTCTTGTTTTTGTTTGTCTGTTTTTGTTTTTGGGCAGATTTACAGAGAGAAGAAGAGACAAAGATCTCCCATCTACTGGTTCATTCTCGAAGTATTTGCAATGGCCAGAGCTGAGCAGATCTGGAGCCAGGAGTTTCTTCTGGGTCTCCCATGCAGATGCAGGGTCCCAAGGCTTTATGCTGTCCTCTGCTGCTTTCCCAGGCCACAAGCAGGGAGCTGGAAGGAAGTGGAGCAGCTGGGACATGAACCAGAGCCCATAAGATGCTGGCACTTACAGGCAAGGAATTAGCCAACTAAACCTTCATGTTGGGCCATCCATGCCTTTTGAGTAAGTAAAAACAAACAAAAAATGTTTTAAATTGTTTGCTTAGAGTGAAGATGCACAGGGAAACTAAAAACCTGGCAAGTCTTCCAACTGCTACTTAGTAAGGTAAACACACTCCTGACATTTACCACTGAAGCAACACGGGAAGCAGCACGCTCCTCAGTCCATTCGACCGTGTACCGTACCTGAATCTGCGTCACAGTCCCCTCACTGATTTCATCATCTGCCACCTCTGTAGTTGCAGTCATCGTCACCTCAAAGCTCTGATCATTTTCTGAAACTTCAAGAGCAGAATAGTTCATCGTCAGAATAATCACAGTAAGTTCAAATTATTTACGAAGTATCTACGGGGGCCAAACAGTAGTATGACATGCTACTCCTCCGTCCTGTAACACCAGCATTCCAAATGGGCGCCATTTCATGTCACAGCTGCTTCCAACCCAGCTCCCTGCTTATGGCCTCGGAAAGCAGCCAAGTACGACTCAAGCCCTTGCACCCCTTCACTCACGTGGCAGACCTAGAATCTGAATCTCCTGGTTTTGGATCAGCTCAGCTCCTGCTGTTGCGGCCATTTGGGAAGTGAATCAGTGGACAGAAGATCTTTCTGTCTCTCTTCTCCGTTTAAAAAAACAAAAAAGGAAGGGGAAGGAGGAACAACAAAGCAAGAATGGAAATGTGATACGGTATGAGATGTTTGACATTTTAAACAGGTGACTAAGAAAACAAGATTTAGAACGAGGGAGGAAGGAATCTGGTCATGCAAGTCAAATGTTCTGAAAGGGTTCCTAGGAACGCAGAGGCCAGCAGGGCCAGAGCGCATGGAACAACAAGGGACTGCGGGGCTTGAGCGGCAGTGAGATCAAAGACTAATGCGGTCATCTAGAGGAGAGGTCAGTCACTTGCACTAACATGAAGGTCAGTCAGGCTAGTAAGTGAAGTAAATTAGGGACTGATGGCAAAGATGATTTGCAAATAAACCAAATAAAATGAAAAAAAAAAAGTTAAAAGTCAAGGATGACAGAAAAAAATTTTTTTCTCTTAAACTGTTGGGAGAATTAATCTACATTAATGAAATGAGAAAGTCTGAGGAAGAATCAAGTTTAAGAATTTAGAAAGTTTCAGGAGCTTAAACCTTAAATTACTTTGAGATATCTACTAAGCATCTAGAGTGCACAAGTACTAACTAGCAAGAAAATCCGGAAGTAGTAAAGCCATGAAATAAAAACTTAAGAATAAAAGCAGAAAAAAGCAGCAGTTTTAGATTGAGTCACTGTGTTCTTCAGAAAAAGGCGGCTAAGCTTTCCGGGAGGAGCAAGGGATGAGCACTCTGAAAAGGTGCCAATGCACCAAGTACCACAAAACTAAAACAGTGACCGTACTAATAACAGCTGGAGTTGGCAACCGGGAAAGAGATGAGCAAGTAAAAACCCGGGCAGAGCGCACTTAAAGACAGAGGCAGGAAAAGGCATTTTGTCTTAACTGCATGGGAAGAAAGTGAACAGGAACCTAAAGCGGGCAAATGGGACATTTCATCTTAAAGAGAACATAAGGACCTATTTGTCATACTGACAGAACGATCCAGTGGAGGATGCAAATGAATAGTTCAGAGGGAAAATGAAGAATTTACTGTATCACCACCACTGAGAGGAAGAGGGGAAGGAGTGCAGCAAACAGAAGAGCCAGGTGAGTGGGGAGGAAAGGCATGCTCAGGCACTGATGCACACCAGTATGGAAGTGTTGCAGTGGCAAATTACAGAAGCCACTGTGTTCAGCATTCCTAGCGAAATACAAAGCGTGGTTATCAGTTCAGTCGGCAAGGTGGAAGCAGTGGCAGGACCTGAGAAATGGTCACTTCCGAGTGGCATGTTATGCAGTGGTGAGCAACACTCCTGGTTAAGATAATGCTTGGGAATGAGACCAGATGTGCTCATCCTATTTTTGCTCCCATCCTATTCAATGAACTGCACTGGCAATGAGATCAACTGGCAGTAACAGATTTAGACAGGGTATGACTTCACCCCAAAATAAATAGAATAAAAAAAGAATGTGAATTAGAGTGGTTATAATGATTACTCATGAAATTGAAACTGTGATGATAAAGAAAGGATATAAATGGATAAAGAACATCACAAATGAGATAAGATGAACAGATCCCAGTAAAGCAAATTTGGGGAAGTTAAACAGTACTACATGCATAGATGGAAAGACAGGAAGGAGTGGCAGTAAAATATAGCAATTATGCAATACATCACAGACTGACTCTAATACTAGGTAAAGGCAAAAATGGTAAATAAAGGATCATGAGGCTAAAATATTGAAAAAATCACCCAAGAGGGGTACAAAGTACCAGCCCAAGGGCTGTGTAAGACCTTGCAAACCTTTCAGTCTGGTCCTGCCAAGGCAACCGCAGTGGGACTTGAGATTCATTAAATCTAATAGCAGATTAATTTTTAAGTTGATAAACATTTTGTGTAGCCTGCAAATGACATTGTAAATAACTAATGCAAGTTGGTAGATCAAAAGTTGCCCAGCCCTGACTGAGTACCAGTACCATCCTTACCATACGGTTGTAATTGTCCAGGTCCTAGGGTAAATGTCATGGCAGCTAAGTGTATTATAACAGACTTCAAGCAGGATGTTGAAAGAATTTTTAAGGCCCAGACAGATAAAATTTATCAGTGCTATAAAGTACTTAGAAAAACTTGAATACTAAAATTTATTTAAATATATGTCTTTTAAAACTATCTGTCACTGTGAAGTCCAGAGAGTATAGAATGTATTACTTTATACTCATCATGTGATTGTTTTTTAAAAACTCAGAAATTGTTCTAAGCTCATTTTAACAACATACTATTTGTAGGGAACATGAAAATACCTCCAAGTCCACTTTTAACAAATTCAGTCTCATTGCTAATATCAGCTTCCTGAATGTATTCTATGTGTGATGACCCAACATCAAGTAGCCCGTGTCCTTTCAGGTCGACATGCACGTAGTATCCTAAGTCAGTCAGAGCACGAAGCAGTCACTTTACCACCATGAGGTGGAACAAAATGTCAACCGATCAAAGGAAGTCTACTTTAACCAAATTAATTAAGTCATAATTTCTATAAAAATGATTGTTCAAAAGTTCTAGTTTAGGAGTTGGTGTTCTAGGGCAGTTGGTTGAACTACAGCTTATGATACCAGCACCCCATACTGGAGTATTGATTCAAGCATGCCTATTCTGTCTCTGATTTAGTTTCCTGCTAATGTGCCTGGTAAGGCAGCAGGAGATGGTTACCTTGGTTACACCTGGTTCCCTGGCACCTATATGGGAGACCAGGAAAGAGTTCCTGGCTCCTGAATGCTGTCCTGAACTAGAGCTGTTAGTGACTGAATCCATGGAAGCAAAATCTATCTCTTTTTCTCCATCTATTACCTGGCCTTTCAAATAAATAAAAAATAAATTTTAGGAAAAATTAGAAAAACTCTATATGAGTACACCAGATAGGCCAGATTTTAAGGTGAAATCATACCATAATGGGAGCCAAACTCAGAAAGAATTCTCAAAATTTATGAATCCTCATTAGGAAAAAAAAAATAGAAACATGTCATACTTAAATGCTGACACTTTTTCAATAAATGTGACATTAAACTGAAATAAAATGCTTTCTCTTAGCAAGCAATTAGCTGCAAATACATAGTGCAAGTCTACTTGTTAAGACATGATTTCCCATGATAAAAGCACAGGTTTAATTTTTTTCACTAGATGAAGATGACTTTGTTGGATGTTTAATGCAGCAGATACGACTAAGTTCTCCTTCGGGCTCATTCTGCCATTGACAACTCTAGATCCCATCTCCATCTTCCACATACTATGGCATCCATTCCAGTTTCACACCCTCAACAAGATTCCATGTTTTGTTAAGCGAATCAAAAGCTTCACTTTGACCTTGAACCGGGTGTTATAACTCCCTTTTCAGCAGTTTCCAACTGAAACAATACACATTCTCTGGAATCCAGTCTATTATAGACTCTCTTGGCATGTAAGACATGAAAATAAGAATGCTTTTCAGAATTATTACACGTCCTACTTCCACGCAGTAATATACAATCATAAATAAGTTATTCTCTGTTCCTCAGCTTCCTTATTTAAAAAACAGTATCTATTGTAGAACATGCTTTGCCCATGAGAATGAATATGGTTTGGAGGGGGGAGGTATACATATATATTAAAGATTTATTTATTTTTATTGGAAAGTCAGAGAGAGAGAGAGAGAGAAGCAGAGAAAGAGAAGAAGATCTTCTATCTGCTGATTTACTCCTCAAGAGGCTGCAATGGCCAGAGTTGAGCTGATCCGAAGCCAGGAGGCAGGAGCCTCTTCTGAGTCTCCTTCTTGGTGCAGGGTCCCAAGGCTTTGGGCCATCCTTGACTGTTTTCCCAGGCCACAGGCAGGGAGCTGGATGGGAAGCGGCAATGCCAGGATTAGAACCAGCTCCTACATGGGATCTTGGTGCATTCAAAGCGAGGACTTTAGCCACCAGGCTACTGCGCCAGGCCCCAGAGGTATATAACACACACACACACACACACACACACACACACACACACACACACACACACAGACACAGTTAAAAATCAAAGTATGTTTAGGAAAAGGGATTTTCCTAGAAAACAAAATGGGGAAAAAAAATACACATTCATTTTAAAGATAGGGGAGCAACAGATTCGCCCCCCAAAATGGCCACAACAGCTAGAACTGACCCAGGAGCTCCTTCAGGTTGTCTATGTGGGTGACAGGAGCCCAAAACTTGGAATATCTTCCACTGCTTTTCCGGGTAGTTGAGCAGGAAGCTGCTCATTATGTCGCAACATCAGCCCAAGGGAAAAAATTCTAAAAAGGCTTCTCTGGAGCTTATAACAACAGACTGAGATTAAGAAAGGCAGCTAAATCTCTTGGAAGTTAAATTTTTACTTCAAACAGAACTCTGCATTGTTAATACACGGCCACTTACGTGGAAGTGCGACAACTGATATGCAAGATGCAGAATCACCAATACTCTGACCATCCTCAGAGGACAAGCAAACTCTCTTATGTGGCGGCTCAGCACTATCTTCTGAGTCTATTTCATCAGCATCTAGTAAAAGGGGGGGGGGGGGACCAAAAACAACTTTAAGGAACAAACCAAAGTTCTAACTCGTTACAGGTCTGTGGCAATTCTCTCATCCATTTTTAATTTAAGTAAACCCACTTGTGCAAACATGATTCAAAAAGTCGTTGCCTTCTCCATAGTTCTGCTTCCATGGTTGATTATCAACCATGGACAGAAGTGCCACTTGGGAAACCATCACACTTCATCTGCCAAATATTGCGCACATGAAGCTCAAGCCTAGGATTTCATCCATTCAAAAATACTCAGTGAGTGCCTCGTGCAAGTTAAGAGCTAAGAGCACTGGAGGAGATGACTAACAATTCAAAAGAGGGCACCACCAGTTATGAAGGTACAATGAGGAGGCTGCCTGGGAGTGAAGGAGGCAGATGTACTTTATGCCAAAGGTGAGGGAAGGGCTGAAGGAAGCCGGGGAGAAATGGTTCCCCTTCCTGACAGCAGCAGTGTGAGGGTGATGCTGAGATGAACACAGCTGTGGCTGAGCTGTGAACTGTGGGAATACAGCTGGAAGTGAAGCCAGGACCCAGTAAGCGACCCATGGGCCACACTGAAGAACAGGTAGTTACTAAAAAATAATGAGAAGCTTTAAAAAAAAAAAGCCATCTCATGCTACTGATCATCATAATCACATCAGTTATTTTTAAGTTGTTTCCAAGAGGTAGATTACTTGAAAAGATTGAGCTTTGCAATAAGAAATGAGAACCTGAACTAAAGCAGAGCAACTCAGTAAGGAAGGCATGGATTCAGGAAACCCTTTGGAGATGTCAATTTTGATAAGGTGTCCAGGAGTAGCACCCAAGATTCAGAATAAAAAGAAGTTTGATTCATCCTTGAAGGTGAATCAAACATCTAAATGAAATAATATATGAAGTGAAGAGATGGAATCTATGTCATATAAAGATGAGCTTAAAGAGAAGCAACAAGCCTTATTCAAATAGTTGTGTAAAACTTTCTAACAGTTTTCAAAAAAATAAACGTCTATTTTCAGTGACAGGAATATATATCTATGTTTCTAATGTGTAAAAGAAGTGTACTATAATTATTTCATCATATCTTTTGAGGCTCAAGATATTATAAAATAACAATGAGATTTGAAAAAGGCTAACATTTATAGTAAAGGTAAACATGTAAAACTTTAAAAAACATAAATGAAGATAAATTCATGATCCAAAGACATCATCTCTTCTACTGTGCCAGTCCAAACTGTCTATCTCCTTAGTACGGTCAAAGGTGACAGGAAATTTAGAAATTTAAAAAAAGCAAAGCCGGTTCGACCTTGGCGGGTCGGGTGACAGCAGCCCTCCACAGTGGTGGCGCCCCGCTTGTGGAAAGGACCCGAGCCAGGTCAGGCCCAATGCCCAGGACTTGGTCCATGGGCACCAGGCTTTGCCTATTGGCCACCCAGTGGTGAGCTCTAGTCTTTAGGTTATGTAATTGCTGCCTATGGACATCCAGGGATAAGGCTAGTGAGTGTAGATGAGGGATGAATTCTGTGCAATTCTTAGCGACGGGGTCACAGAATTTTCTGGCAAGCATGGGGACTGAGACCTGATGGTTTGGAAGGGAGAGTCCATAAATTCTATTTGGGTCAGATTGATTCACCAACCCAAATGGGATACTAGGCCACAGCATTGAAGGAAAAGGCCAAGATAGGTAAGGGACTATGCCAAGCTGGGTCAGAGCAACAACTGGCATGCGCGTAATCTATGGTTGGGAACAGGCCCAACTGGGGAACTAAGAAGACACCTTTGCTGGGTTGGGATTCCCACTGGTGAGTACCAGGACTGGACTGGAGACTGCGTTCTGGTCTGGACATGGCTGTAGTCTCCCTTGGCACAAGTGTGAACTGGGACTGGACGCAACAGGCCGGGTTAGACTCCAGCACCATCTGGAGAACCAGGGTAGATGTAGGATGGACTAGGCTAAGTCTCTGCCCCTACTGAACCATGTATGAGCCGTGTCTGGGTATGGACAAACCTTGGCTGGGCTGAAACATCCAACAGCAAGAACCGGAACGGGCTGAAGGTCAGTCAGGAAAGGCCACTGTTCCTGCTAGGACAGGAGGTGAACTAAGTAGGGCTGGCTCATGGACCCACTGATATGCGCAAGATCTGGCAATGGGAGAGGTTTTGATGGAGGAACCTGGGCAACTCCTCTGGCAGGACACAGTCCCTGCAGGTGAGTGCAAGAATGATAAGGAGCAGCCCAGACCAGACCAGGGAAAGGTACCCACCGGCATACATTTGACATAGGTTGGGGGCAGACCAGGCTGAACCTGTTCACATCACCCGCTGGCAAATCTGAGCACCAGAACAGAGTGTGGGTCAGGTCAGGTATGGTCGCAACACAAACCAGTGCACATTATGGCTGGGATTGGGTGCCTGCTGGGCTGGACTAGGCTCACCAGCAGACAACTGGAATTGGGGGTGGGCCGGGCTGGGTCAGGCTACAAAACCGATTGACAAATGCCAAGGTGAGGTGGGCCATACCAGACTGGGCTTCAGAGCCCAACCAGCACACATGAGAACGAGGGAGGGAGGAGGCAAAGCCGGTATGGAGATTGTGGAAGGCTCCTCTGCTGGACAGCCACTGCCACTGCAGAGTGTGGGTTGGGATGGGGGCAGAACAGACCAGGCAGGGTTACAACACCTGTGGGCCTCATGTGAGTTAGATCAGGGAAAAGCCGGACTGGGCTAACTGTTCCTACTGGTGCAAGCATAAATTAGAGTGGGTGAGGGTTGTTTGGGCTTTGCTGCAGCATCAGTTGGTAGAGGCTGGCACTGGGGGCTAATTCTGTCAAGTTTAACCACAGAACCACCCGCAGAGTACATAATCCAGGAGTGAGAGTGCCCTAGGAGGGAAATAATGGGCACCTCCCTCTTGGGTTATCACTTTCACTGGAAAGCATGAAAACCAGGATTGGGGCAGGGGTGGCTAGACAGAACAGCACCCACCAGTATCTGTGTGTGGGCTGGATAATAGGGCAGGTTGGGTTGCACTAGGTTTCAACGCCCATTGACATGTACGAAAGCTAAATGGAATGGGGGACAGACTGAACAAGTCTGCAGTGCATAATGGCAAGCACAGGGTAGGGGGCAGGCCTGGTGGGGCTTATGAGGAGCTGCCCCGTCTAGGTTGCAGCTCCCACTGGTTTGCGTGAGGGCCAAGCATGAAGTGGGCAGCATCAGGCTGGATTGTAACAATCATCAGTTCACGTGGAAGACAGGGCTGGAAACAGAACTGACCCAGCAATTGCAACCACCAGCACATGCATAAGCTCACGGGGCAATGGACTGTGCCGGACCTTGTACTGGTAAGCACATACAAGAATCAGGTCTGGGATCACCTCAAAGTTCCTCCGGGGATCAACTGAACTGCTGATCTCAGAACCCCAACCATGAAGAGACTATGTCAGCCAGTGGTTTCTGAAGAGATTTCATTGCACTCGGAGCAGCGAGATTTGCAGCAATTCAGGGACCTGGACTGGGTGGGAGGCTGGGTGGGGCTTTTCCCTTTATCTCTCTCCTTACCCCGGATACAGAAAAAAAAAATAATATTAATGTGGAAACAATGGTCTTACCCACTTTCCTGTAGCCCTTGACAGTTTGTATGTACCCTAATCAACTATGTAAAGATTACCAAAATAAAAGAATTAAAAAAAAAGCCATAATTTCATGTCTGTAAGTCCCCTACCATTCTGAGGGCAGTGAAGAATGAGGTTCCCTTCGGGGTCCTGAGTGAAGGTCACAGAGTTCACAGCTTCTACTGTTACTGTGTCAGAATCCTCTTCAACTGTGCTCATACTCAAATCTGTGCGAGAGCAGAATCCAGATTAGAACTGCCAACGATTACTTCTGGATATGGATAAGGTAGACTTCCCAGGCATTTCCCTGACCAACGTGCAACACACTTACGAACAGACAACTAGACAAATAAACAACATCTTAGGTGAGACTGCAGTAAGAGTTCAGACTCAAAATACATTTCGCTAAACTTATATGCATTATATTTACGATCAGATGTAATTAACTGTAAGAAGCCGTCTTTTTAAAACAGCACACACTTAAAAAGAGTTGTTTTTATCACAACTAAAGAGGATCTGTTTAAAGTTCCCTGTCAAATTACCAAAACTCTCACCAGTTGGGTTATTTTTTGAATGACAGCCTTGTGATACATTTAAATAGCATTTACCTTGATTCGTTATCAGAAGATTGGTCCAAAATTTTATCTGGATCCAAAACTGGCTTTACAATACTATTTTACAGTAGTATTTAAGCTCTACTAGAGAGAGGAGATTTTGTCTTTATTTTTTTTTTTTTTGTACTTAAAAGCCAGATTTATAGAGTGAGGAGAAACAGATTTTACATCGGCTGGTTCACTCCCCACTACAACATCTGGGACTGGGCCAGTTCAAAGCCTGAAGCTTCTTGCAGGTATCCCACGCAGGTACAGGGTCCCCCCAGCTTGGGCCATCCTCTGCTGCTGTCCCAATTCATTAGCATGCAGGAGAACTGGAGGTGGAGCAGTAGTACCTGAAGATGTGTCCACCATGCCATGTCAGCACCTTTGGTGGAGAGCTTAGCTTGCTATGCCATGACCCTGGCTCCTAGGTGTTCTAAAATTCTTAAGTCTTGTTCAAAGTCCCTTTACCTGGTATTTTACAAGCACACCATGTCACATTCTTTTTGTTCAGAAAGATTGATCAAAGCTTTAGAGCACAGAAGCTCATGGCTGGCAAAATCAATGGTCTGGTTGAAGTTGTAGTCACCTGAAATGCTTAATACACTTCCTGCCACAAGGTTAACTTGGTCTTGCCAACACACTTTGCTGTAAAAATACAGAGGACATAGCCTTGATGTGTATTTAATTAATCACTCTATTTACTTGGCTTATGCACTAGGCATCTGTCAACTCACAGAAAGAATTTACCATTCAAATGAATGTACTTTCTTCTGGCAGAAAATGAAATATATTACACATTTACATGGTAAAAATTCAACAATTCACTAAGACTTTACAAAATATAAATTTAAGAGTTGGAAATCAACATCACTCATTTTACAAAGGTGATGCCATTCTCAAAATAATAAGAAATAAAAATTAAGAACCTAATTACTTCTAAAGTTGAAAACCACAAAGCAAAGTCTTTGCCACGTGGGCAAGCTCTTACCTAGACAACAGATGGAGCTGGGGTAGCCCTTCCCGCAGAAGCAAGTCGCCTGCTCTTAGCCACCAGCATCACTTTCATGTTATCCCAACTGTTTCTCCCCCATGTCCGTACTTGTACCACACTCTGAAAAAATAACAACAGCATTGCACAGCATGGACCAATATGAACAAAAACCGAGAGCTGTCAATGTGCATCTTGATGACACTCAAGTTCCCAGGATACCTTAATTCTGGAAGGGTTAGACAAAATCAGTTCTTTTGGAAATCCGCCTATAGAAATAATGCTCAAGTATTCAATGACACAAATAAAATCTTACACCCAAGTTCATGACCAGTTTCTCAATATAAGTTGTTTTTCATCAGGCAAATATTTTCTGAAATAAACAAAAACAGGCTAAGCTATGTGAGTGGTTCTCTGAAGCAGAACTGAGGAACCATTATGTAATATGACCTGGTTGTGTATGTCAACTACAGCACCTTAAATGTTATCAGTAAAGACGGTTTTGTTATAATTTTTATTAGCATCTGTTTTTCGCACATTTCATCTTGAACTATTAAAAAAATGTAACATTTTTTACCCAGAAATCATGAAAAGTAAACAACCCTACTAGAGATCTGTGGGAAAATTTTAATTAGGCCAGAAAAGGTAAGTTACAGGCCATCTTGACTACAACATATTCAGAAACTGTAAAGGATTAGTTTTTACAGGTTTCTTTCAATGGGTTTCTCATTTTCATGGAAAAGGCTAACAAAAGAACTAAAGACAACAGGACTTGGGTTTATAGGAATGTTTCAACAAAAAATAAGAGTTAGAATTCCCATTTTTGCAGTGTCCCTCTGCCCCACTCCAGTGTACAAACTGAGCAGTACTGCACATGGTTTGCAGCAGCAGAGGTAGGAACGCCTCAGAGCAACTATCACCTCTCACATTCCTGGTTGTTTCTTTGTCAGTAGTACTGATCACAAGATGGCAAAAAGAAATACAAAAGATTAAAACCCATAAACTTACTCCAAAAATTAGCTAAAATTAGCATTTTCACCAGTATACAGCTTTACCTCAGGAATCTTGGCTTCTTTTTCAAGTTCTACAACCCTTGTTAAAGAGTTTGGTGAGTCTAAATTACTTTGTAAATTAACTGGCATACCTTTTCATTCGTAACATGCACTTCATATTTACTAAAAACCGTGACAATGCATACAGCAATTAAAAATTCACAAAATCTTGCCATCTTAAGATTTTCTCCAGGGCCCAGTGCAATGGCTTAGTGGCTAAAGTCCTCGCCTTGCATGCACCAGGATCCCATATGGTTCTAATCCCAGAGGCCCCACTTCCTGCCCAGCTCCCTGTCTGTGGCCTGGGAAAGCAGTCAATGATGGCCCAAAGCTTTGGCACCCTGCACACACGTGGGAGACCTGGAAGAGGCTGCTAGCTTCTGGCTTCAAATCAGCTCAGCTGTAACCACTGCAGCCACTTGGGGAGTGAAACAGAAGACGGAAGATCTTACTCTCTATCGTTTCAGTATATCTGACTTTCCAATAAAAAATAAACAATCTTAAAAAAAGATAATTTCCTCATTTTCATCCATGTAGTTGAGAAGTGTATGTCAGCATAGTAACATTTATGTAACTTGTAATATTTTAGTAGGCAACACAGTTTTTAAAAGCAAGGGTGGGTATACAGTGAAGTCCATACGTTCCATTCTAGTCAAAGCAGGTAAAGAATTTTATCAGTTCCTCAGTCCTCCATCATTGCTTCACTCAAAAAAACATTATAGCAATACAGCCTTCCCCCATACACATGCTTCTTTCAAAACAATGGTATCACACTGAACACAGAACTGTACCTTAACGGCACTGATGCAAAGAACCAGCTACTAACAGAACCGCCCTGAAGTAGACCCAATTTGGCCCGTTGGCTACAAAAAAAGGCAACCAGGATGGCAGAAGCTTCCGAGCATGAGAGAAAGAGGCTGGAGACATAGACAGGAACACACACCGGTAAGATCTCCCCCCCCCCCCCGCAAAAAAAAAAAAAATTAATGAAGAATTTTAAAATAATTTACATTTTAAAAAATTTATCTTGATATTGGTTACAAAGGTGAGGGTATTGTAGACCTATGTGGATCTCTGATCAGGGTGGAGACAGAGATGGTCTGGGTAGAGAGGGGAAGCAAGATCAATGTTTCAGTTTTTTCTCCTGTGTCAGCTGAGGGTTGAGGTAGGAAGTGTATTGCTTCAGAAGCCATCATTGCCCTAAGACGGTCGTTTGTTGTTGCCTTGGAGACCCTGATGTGCAGAAGAAATGTTCCAAGGGTATTACTTGAAAGGTCTTGGTTACTCTAAAATGCTATTGGTTTTGTGATACTAGTGATGAGAATACTAAGGCCAGTGGCTGGCTGTGTGCCCAGTGTGCAGAACTGCCCTGCTTTCCCCCTTTTGATGAGGTGCTTGGAGTCCTCTGCTGGCTTCAATGAGCTGGCTGTCTTGTCTCCCATGTTCATCTGGGCATGCTCTTCATTTGTACACAGCAGCTGAGATGGTCCAGCCCTCCAATACAAGTCCCGTGGTTTGGAGCTCAGGTCCATGTGATTGATCCTAAGGTCAGGACTCAAGCACAATACTCTGGTTGGAGAACCCCCCAAGAAATCAAACAAAGATGTTAAGCTGATACATGAGTTGATCTCAACAAATCAGGATTAGAGACATAGTTAACAGCAAACAAATATTTTTTTCCAAGATTATCTAGATTACAGAAGACAAGCTGTATTACTTTCATGTGTTTCCGAATGTCAAGAGGAAGACAAGGTAAGGAAACCAAGGAGTACCAGCCAATGATATACAAAGGAATGTGTTAACTGAGAAACACGATAATTTTTCATAAGCATTTAAGCAGCCAATTATGCTGACTGCTGCTGAGATAATGGATAAGTAACAGTGTCATGTGGCATATCAGAGCACAAATGATGGGGACAGAAGCTCTCCTGGAATAGAGAGGAACTGAAAAAGTCCACAGACACCTCTTGGAGAAGCTTGAGTTTTGAAGTGAGCACTAAATAGTTGTTATCTAATAGTGCGCGTAAATATTAGACTGTTAGGATGAGTTGCCTAACAACTTTTGGAACTCTCTGCCATCTGATTTCTCAGGGAAATACAAGATTTCCAACTCTGTTATCAATTTTCTGGTGTAGATTAACACAAAAACCCAGTTTGGCTTTGTCTTCCTCCTTTGTAATGGGTTATGTATGGCACAGGTATCAGTTTTATAATAAGCACTAGAAAACATAATAGAGGGAAGACAAATTTAAACAGCCATTTTAATTGGAGAAGTGGTATTTTGGCATGTTCTCATACTTTGGTAAAAAAAAAAAAATCTTTAAACTAGCAACCAAATCCTAACAAATGTAAGAAAAACAATACCTGAAAAGTGGTACAACACAAACTTGGAATAGATCTTATGCATATCTTCACACTTAAAGTTAAAATGGTTTTTATAGTTTTCAATGACTAAGCTGACATCACTTAATAACTTAGTAGAACAAAAAGGGATAAGCATAACAAAATAACTCTCTTAGACCTATTATTTATTGCAGAGTTTAAACAGTAATTTTTGATACTCTCTATCCTGGCATCCACATAAAGTTTCCAGTCAACAGATTATTTCAGGGTGGAATTTCCATTTCCAAATTATCCTGACTCAATTCCCTGCTAGTGCACCTGGGAAAATACTGTAAGCTGGCCAACAGTGCTTGGGCCTCTACCACCAGCTCGAAGGAGCTCGTGGCTCCTGGCTTTCACCAGGCCCAAATGATCAAAGATCTTTCTCTTCCTTCTCTGCAGCGTTTTCAAGTAAATAAATCTCGAAAAGAAAGTAGGCAAGACCACAGAGTAACATCATCTGGAATACCAATTTTATTCAAGAAAAAAAAACCAGAGACTTCACACTTGAGGTAGGATGCTTTAAGTCCAGGTCCCTCGTGGTTTGTGCCTCTCTAAACTTTGTGGAGAAAAAGTGGTATAAATGAACATAAAACATACTGACTCAAGGCACTTAAGGTTTACTGCTGCTTGATTTCAAGACGACAAAATATGATTATGCCCTATAAAATGTCAACACTTAATTACATATCCTAAGATTGCTTTAAAAGTTGACTTCAATTATCTATTGAAAACATTGTCATTACTTGAGTAAAGAGAATTACTTAGCAATGTGTCATTTTAAGGTGCATTTGGCAATAAAATCATGTTGCTCTTTAAAAGGCTTACTTTTCACTCAGTACAAGATCAAGGATTTCATCCATTTAAAACTGAATACTTTTAGTTAAGGCACTATCAAAAACTTTAAAGATCACATTCCTCTCATTTACAATGTAGATTTTTTTTAATCTTTAAAATTTTATTTTTGATAATTTTTACATGTTTGATTAGGGTGCGAAGGGTCAAGGGCTAGAGGAAAGTGGGTGAGACCATTGTTTTCACATTCTTTTTTTCTTCCTGTATCTGGGGAAGGGGAGGGAAGGAAGAAGTAAGGGGAGAAGGCACACCCAGCCTCCCACCCAGCCCAGGGTCCCCGATGCGGGGCATGCTGAGGGTCCTGCTCAAGCAGTTTTGATAGCTCAACAGTTCTAAATTGCTGCCGATTTTGCCACTCCAATCATGATGAAATCTCTCCAGAATCCACTGGCTGACACAATCCACCTTAGAGTATGCATCTGCCCAGGAGACTCACTGCCAACACACATGGTTGAGGTAGCTGATCAATTTGTTCTGTTCTCCCTCCTCTGTTATGGTACCAGGTGTCCTCTGCAGACTCCAATGTACTGCCATATCCTCCATGTGCACCTGGATATGCTGTCTACTGCTCCATCTAAGCCACCGAGGCGGCCCAGGGCTGACCATGGCACTTGCACTTCTCTTCATGTTTGGGGTTCTGAGTCCAGCAGTTCAGTTGGGGTGATTCCCAAAGAAACTTCATCTGAGGTGATCCCAGACCTAATTCTTGCATGTGCTTGCCAATACAAGGTCTGGTACAGTCTGTTGCTCAAGTTGGCCTGTGCAGGCACTGTTAGTCGCAATTGCTTGGGTCGGCTGTCTCCAGCCCTGTCCTCTATGTAAACTAATGGGTGA